TTTCCAGTGACTCTCTAACTGATGTCAGCTCATGATTAAATCCTCCATGCAATATACAAAATTGTTGGGTCTCGTTTCTCCCTTGATTCTCCTAGGGCGAGGAAGCCGCACAGTGCAGATAGTACCGAAGTTACTGGAGGAGTTTGTCAACCAAAGATGAAACTCGAAATACATCTTGCCCAGAAATTAATATCATATCCCGAGAAAATATTTGTTTACGTCAGCCATAGTGACAAGACATCCAAAAGGAGCCACAAGCCTGATACAAGCACGATTCAAGATCATGAAAAAGTGGAACTAATAGCAGAGGGACTGTCCATAGTCTTTACGCAGGAGTTCTTGCCCCATCCCATAGCATCAGCTCCCGTCACAACAGGATAAAACGGAATAGGTCGTATTGACACTGACCGAGAAGTAGTATTTAAGTCCTTTGGGAATGTTAGGTACAGGGAAGTCGGCGGGACCCACCCACCTTCCTCCAAGGCTTCCGAAGAAATCGTCAGTCCACACGCCCGGTCACTTCGGCTACGATATGAGCACTATCCATCTTACATGAGGCGTGGTCACGTGTCTCGGAGAGCGTGATAATACGTCCCACAAATACTTAAGGAGTTATGTGAATTCATTCAAACCACAGGCCTATTAGTATTACCGGCCTTGTGCTTAAGATATTGGAAGGATTAATTAAAGAATCTGTCAGGGTGTATTTAGAAAATAAAAATTTATCATCCAACTCATATTGGGCTTCTGAGGGAAACCTGTTATATCTGACAAACCTCATACCGAGGGAAGGCTGGAGCAAATCAAGGGATGAATAGATCTTACCAAAGCTCTCGACAAGGGGCCTCGCACAGGTAATTCATGAAACTATACAGTCTCCGAGTCAACGACGGCGTGTTTGGATTTGTCAAAGAATTCCTCGTACGAGAGGGACAGAGAGTCAGAATGAACAATAAAATCTCTCTTTAGACACAGGTGTACAGCCACTTACCATTAGGCAATTTCTTCACTCCCACCACTTCCTGTTTGTCAGCAAGTTATCTTAGCCCACCAAATCTCTTGTTATTCTCTGCAAAGTGAACCCAAGGATTTGTAGGGAGCTCAGTGATCACAACGACAAATCTACGTTGAGAAAGGAACTCAATAATCAGTTAGTCTTGACCAAAGAATGAATGCTGCCAGGCGTACGCGGTAATGCACATCCTGAACTTCTCAGAGTATATGATATGAGAGGAATGATACTGCTACCAGTTCAGACTTATGTGGATCTTGGTGTAATGACCTAAAATTATGGCACAGTGTCGTGCAATGGTAACTCAAAGTTTTGGATCACTGTGGGCAATACTCAGGGACCCCACTACAGTATTCATAATTTAGTGGATGACTACGAACTTGATCTGCTCCCCGTTTGCCTTTCCACATTGTCAGAATGTCTCAGGGAACATAGTGGGTGAGTACGAAAGGCGAAGAGGAACTATGCTGCTCTGGAGAACGGGTTACCCACCGAGTCATAAACTTTGGGAACCAGCTCTCAAAAGACGTGGTGTCTAGGCCCCTAGCAAACTCGTTCAGGAACGGATAAGACAGGCACAGATAACCATGATAAGTGGAATGATACAACTTTGGTTGTATAATTCTTATGAAAATATCTGAATATTTTCAATCTTTCCACGTTAGTAAATTATGTTTGTACGGAAACATGCATCTTTTGAGTTAAGAACTGCTTTTTATTTTCATTTAATTGATTATTCAAGGCATCAAAAATGGTTGTTGCGTAATCTTAATTGGACTTCGACATTTATTTGTTTTAGTTTGTAGGATCATTCTTTCCCACCTGGGGTGTGAAAAGGGGGTAAAACAAAGGAACCGTTATTATGACAGCAATTACCGAAAAGGTTGGTGTTTGGAGATGATTTGAAAGACAAAATAATGTGAAAATCTTTTTGTATACCGTTACTACCTTGTACTGATTGAATTTTATTTACAAGGTATTTTGGTCACTAAATTTTCTCGGTATGTTGTTTGACATGGCATAGTGTATTACTATCTATTGGTATATGGATACGAAATGACTGTGGCATAGTATCAGTTGCGTTTCAGGATAATGATAAACTATAGTAGCCACCTGGATTAAAATTATTACTAACTCTTAGCAATTAATCAGCTTTAAGCAGCTATAAAAGCTTCAAAATTGTTGGGAAGATGGCCATAGACCATGGTGTTCTGAGGTCATTTCATATTTTGTGATTTTGTTCTTTAATATATCCCCAAAAGACCGTCTATTCCATCTCAGACCGTTGTTCAACTGGGAATCACGTAAGGTCGTGAATGTTGCGATGACTTGCTGCTACTAACGTACATATGTGGCTCGTAGTCGTTCACTTATAAGCGTTGGTTGGTAGTATTGATGCTCTGTGGAAATGTACGAGTAGTTAGTTGTTTTCAGCTTATTTAACTAGCCACCATTTGTGGTTGGTAAGGTTTGTTATCCTCATCAGGAATGGTAAACAACGTGTACGATGCATGGAACAAAAGGCATCTGCGTATGACAATCAGATATGGTTCATTTGGAATAAACTAAGCCACTATGAGTCGATGTGACTTAGTCCTGTGGCATCATCTTACACTTGACGGGAGCAAATCTCACGCCAACCATTCGAAAATTGCTGCTCCTCGAGGCGTTCAGAAGAATCTGCTCACTTGTTAGCGTCTTCACCTAGTTGGAAGGACTATATTATCTGCTTATTTTAAGTCAGCGAGATTATCCCGTCGTAACCAGTCAATTCTTGAGTCGCTTAAGTCAGTTAGGGTTTATTCCATGAGTACATGTATGATGAAGTTAAACAGAAATGGGGACAGTGGGCATCCCTGACGGACACCACTGGCTGTCACCACTCCAGATGACAACTCGCCGTAAGCTCTTACCTGGCTGCATGAGTTCGAGTAGAGTAACTTGATCGGCGCGATATATTTTCGTGGCACCAACCTAATTATAAAGCGTCTTTGACCACAGACGTTCGCGTTATATCCCACGTATTAAACGGTATAATATGAATATATTATTGAGGTTAGATATAGTGTTAGGCGAGGAGGGTAGGTTAATCAATGAGGTTGTGAAGCTGCATCGATGGAGACAGCTAGAAGATGTGTTGTGGATGTCAGGCTACCACCTTCCTCGACGAGAAACGTTAGCTGACATAGGAATATGTTGGAAAAGAGTTAGCGGTGGTGAAATCAAAACTTGAGATAAATCCATGAATCTTTTGACCACTGGTTTGGGCCGTGTAGAGAGGTACAGACTTCCTAGCTATTCGGTGCCCTCGGTGTGCTAAGAAACAATGTCTGGGGACTATCAGTGAAATGTCTCAATGGATGGCGCAGATGCGTTCACTCTGTGGGGTCCCCTATATACTCTAAACCGTCGTGGTTCTATGTTCCCATCCTTCTCTCTCACATTTCTGCTTGTAATAATTTTTTGAACCTAATTTTCTCTCTTTTGTCTACCTTGATGTCCTACATGGAGTGCGGCATCCTGAGCTGTTGCACTTCTGTGTTGAGATTCAGTCAAAATAAAAAACCTCTTAACTTCAAGGGGCATAAAGCTAAAAAACAAGTAACATCGTGAGCCACATTTTCATTGGTTTTCCGTTGAATGCTTGACTAAACCATCGTTATGAGTATCGGGGCTGACTTTTCTTCTCCAGTAATGAACATTACTGTTCATAAGGACATCTGTTTCTAGTCAAGGTATCCCAACATAGTTTCTTCCACTAAATCATGGTCTCTGTAGAACACCACTGCAAATATTCGAGGGTTTGGATTAGTTCGTGAATGAAGTCTCTGGGAAGGATGAATCATCTCCAAATCAGTCATGTCAAAGAAGCTAAAATACCAAACCCAGAATGTTCATCTTTTGTGCTTATTGTAAACATATACTCAAGTATGTTATAACAAAGCTAAGTCCTACTCCGAATAAGGTGTAGTGTGTGTGCTCCAGATAAACTGATCTGTTATGATCTCAAATTCTTATTTTGGATTATATGTAGAGATCTACACTGCTACAAAACCAAGTGTGAGGCATACGTACGATGGTACATATCTGTCTAGTAAACGGTGTTAATACTTTCATGAGTTTTTCGAACATCGTTAACATGTTCTATATCCATCTGTCAAAAGTTTCGTGTGCTATCGAACTGGTACACATTAGCTCCCAGTTAGAAAGTAGGGAATAAAGTAACAATATGAAACGGTTGTTATACTAATTTGATAAGTTTCATTGGCTCTAGTAGACCTGCTGAAGAGAAAATTAAGCCGAAGTATAAAAGAGCGGTTTCTCATTTGCCATACTACTGTCCCACCGAACGACTGAAAGAAATTTCGATCGGAATAAATCTTTTATTTCATTGTTTGTATGAGGTGGACCCAAATACAAGTCATACAAAAACGATGAAATGAAAAGTCATTGGATGAGATGATAGATTTTGTGAGGGGCATGCTAAGTCACGATTTCTAAAGCGCGGATTAGTTCAGCTAAAACCTTTCGGCGTGGTTAGACCTAATAGAATTCATGGTTGTTTGTCCCTGTAGGTACCCTGGGGATGCAAAGAACTAACGTTTGAATACTGTTAGTGATGGAACTGAGAAGTTCTAATGTTATGCAAATGTATTCGCTCTTTATTACCTTCGAAATCCTAAACATCTACACCAGGGGGATTATTTCTCTTCTCTTTCCCGCGATTATTCCAATTATTTTTTTCACTACTCTTCAGTGTGGCAACTTGTAAGCAATTTATATATTTTCTTTAGAAAAGGTTGTTTAGTATGTTGTTTGGTGCGTGAAAGTAAATTTTCCCGGGACCAACGCGTTTTACTAATATTACTGTGATAGTCTTAACTAGTATATTATTTCAGTTTTCCAGATCATTAGTATATTGAATATATCAAACCTAAAATAATTCGAGTTTAACAGTTATTTGTTTTGGTTGTTTTAGTTATGTTAAATGAATTGCCATCCAACTACCTGGAGAGACAATACCACTATTAATCCATCGAATCATCCAATCGACCTTCATGAAACACCTAAAAGGCGATGTGGAGATTCCTCTTGGGATTGGTCTAATCTAGAAGATTGTAAACTTCTAGATCACGTTTCTCGACATGGTGAAAGTCGTTGGCAACTTATTGGAAAAAGACTAGGCAAACCAGCTTTGCAGTGTTCTGAAAGGTGAGTAGTTGTTGATGAGGTCATTTTCAGCACATTTCAAGCGTTTCTTTTTTTCTAAAAATAAACTGTAATTATTGTTGTATTATTGTTCCCTTGGGTTCCTAGTGGAACATAGGGCTTCAGCTGCACGTCTCCACTTGCCACTTCTGTCTTCTGCTGCTGTACTTTTCACCTGAATCCATGTTAGTCCATACTCTTTCAACTCCTCCTCTTCACATCATCTCCTCCATGTCACCCCCACACTGACGTCCCACTCGCCGTGTGCTTCCCTTTCGGCCTGGTTCCACTGGAGCAATGGCCTGATGCGCGCGCGATGTCACCCAGAGGCGGCCTCCTCAGCGAGTGTCCAATCCATCTCCACTTTCTCCTGCATATTTGTTGGTAGGTGATTGGTTCTTCTTTTGTTTGTTTGTTTGTTCCTAGCCACAGTTTCTTGTTGGTGATTCTTTCTGGCCCCCCGGCCATCTGATCTTCAGTATAGAGCCAGCGAAGACAGTTGTTGGTTGATAAAGGTGTGCAACAGGCTGTTGGAAATACCTGTTCCTTATGACCCGCCCGCCAAGTTTCTGATCCGTATAGAAGAACTGATTGACTTGACGTTGTTTGTATTGAAAATCCGGATTCTGTTGTTGATGCTGGCTGAGTGACGAAGATTTCCAGAATTGTTTCAGGTTGATGATGTTGATGTGTTTCTCGCCTTCCCGATTCTCGCTCGATTTGACATCGTCGTCCGTTTCGAGTGCCTGTAGTTGAGACAATGCTCCCTAGATAAGTGAGTGAATAAAGTAACCTCATTCAAATCCCTCCTGTTAATGGTGATCGGCACTGGATGTTGCTGTTGTTGTTTTTGGTGGTGGTTGGTTATTTTCATAACCTCCGTCTTGTCTGTGTTCACCTGGAGTCCTGTCTTCGCTGACTGCTTCTTCGACCAGTTTGTCGGTCGGTTTTCGCTTGTAAGTTTTCGATTTTGTGTGATATCAAGCATAAATCATGCACACGCGAAATCCAGGTCTTCTAGGTTCTTGACGTCGGTCGGTTCAGGATATCCCTGTCTTCTGGTTTCCCACTGTCTGACGCATAATCCAGTCAGTCCACCACAATTAAGAATATCATTCATTGGTGATAATAAGCACCCTTGTCTGTGTCCTGTGTTTACTCCAAACGCCTCACTGAGTTTTCCGTTGTGGATCACTTGACATGTGTCGTTGTTTTATAGTTGTTGAATAAGGTTGATGAATATTTGGGGTACGCCGTAGTACTCGAGTAGTTTCCAAATTACTTCACGATCAATGCTGTCGAAGGCTTCCTCAAAGTCTATAAAGTTGAGGTAGAGGTTTGATTGCCATTTCACGCTTTGTTCTGCGATGATGATGCGTAGAGTTGCAGTTTGGTCGGAACATGATTTGCCTTTCCTGAATGCAGCCAGCTTGTTCTGGTCGGAGTTCTGTATCCAGTGCGTCCTTAATTCTCTCCAGGATGATGTGACTCAGGGTTTTACGTTGCGTTGACAGGAGCATGATTCCTCGCCAGTTCTTGCAGAGTCCTAAGTCGCCCTTCTTTGGTAGTTTCACGAGGTAACCTTTCCCTCCTTCCAGACCTTTTGCAATGATGGAGTCAGCATGTCTGCTATCGTCTCTGGATCCGCTTTCGGTGTTTCAGGGGGTATTCCATCTGGTCCAGCTGCTTTTCGAGCCTTCAGAAGCTTGATTGCAGCTTCAAAATATTAAAGATACAAAGGACAGCGATTCTACTACGATTTGCTGAAGCAATTGCAATCAAACGTCTCAGACCAAACCCATGCATACAGAAAGAGAGTGTGGTCAATCTCTCACTCCCTTGGTAACCATATCACTTTTATTACACTGATTAGTTATACACACTAGTGAGCTCAACTCACTAAGCAAGTTTTCAAATTGATGAACTTTGACCTTCTTGAGTTGACATGTTGACACTGTTTACTAGATTTTTTCTGCTTTCTGTCTTCTCTCACCCCCACTTTTTTTTCATAGTTTGACAGTATATAAATTGATGATGCGTTCACCTTATAATGTTTTCTCTATTACCTTTCAAACAATGAAGTATGAAATGTTACTATTTATAACCATTGTAATTTCAGGTAGTTTTCAGCTGGTGAGAACCTGTGAAATAGAATGATATCATTTTATACTGCAAATCTGGTCTTTCTTTCTCTATCGAAATTTATCATGGGAACTAAATGTATGATATATTATTTGTGTTTATTAAAACACCGACTTGGTACATTATGACCACCGAGAGATACGCCGCACAATTTCGCGTTTTTTTTGTGGGGGCTGGAATAGTATTCGGATTCTTGGAGCAAAACAGATGATTGTCTTAAAAGATAATTCCCCCAAGTCTTCGACTCGAATTCGAATCCAAAAGACAGAAGTGCAGCGTCTGGAGCTAAGTTCCCATGGTTTCTGGTGACCGAAACGGGTTCATACACTATTCGATGCTTTCTGATTCTTGAGGTTTTGACTCAGAGTTTCCCGGCTCCTCTAGGTAGAGCAGCATGTCCACCAGACCAGTTTTAATCGACAGACGTCCATATCATCCCTTTCACTTTTGTGAGGACTAGAAATTTGACGTTAGTTGCTACACTTCAGTTCTACAGAAGGTTGATTATGTTTCTGAATAGCTAAGTGGTAAGGTGTCTGTGAAGCACTGGATGTAATCCTAGTCATTAGTAAACATGAACAAAGCAACAAGAACAACTGCACCAGAATACTATGAACTCATCTTTTATTATATCGAGGATTCTTCTCAACTGGTTACAACCTGAACGTTAAAAAAAATATGAATTACATTAAAGATTTGAACATACTTTTCCACGATCACAAAGAGTAATTGGTAGAAATTAAAAGTAACATTAGGCCGGAATGATTTAACTGATTAGGAGTTATAAACACTGACTATTTATTGAATAATTAGACAATCAGGCTTGGAAACAAAAAAGCAGGGTTGCGTATATATGTGTGTATAGAAACAAGGTTTAACTAGAAAGAGCATAACAAAAAAGTAGATTACGGAACTGCAGAAAACGTCTTATCTAATGGCCAATAGAAAAAAGGAAAGAAAAGAAACAAGGTAGGGTGAGTCATTTTTAGATGAGTGAGTAGAGTTTTCTAAACATGAAAAAAGTGACTCATGAAAGTTGTATATTTTTTTTGTTATCACCAGGGTAGTGCAAGATTCACCACTGTCTCTTTCTGCGTACATAGATTTGGTTTAAGTCGTTTGATGGCAATTGCTTCAGCAAAGCGTAGCAAGCTAGGTTTCTTTTGCTTGTTGATTATTTTGAACGACTTCAGGTTGACCAGTGTCCAATAGATGACCAGCAGTCACACTGTTTAATGCTTCCGGACCTTTCAATCTTAGGTTCTTTGGTATGTGTTCATAAATACGGACACTAACCCTTCTGTCTGTTCTTTCAATGTATGTGCTTTGGCACGTACAGCATGTAAATTGTTAGACACAGTCGGAGGTAACATGAGGTGGGTATTTGTCCACTTTTGATTGTCTCAAACAACTAATTGTTTGATAAACACATACAAGCTTGGCGGCTGGATATGCTGTTTTCAGGGCAGCGTTCAGTGTGCATCTTATTCTACTAGCAGTATCGATCATCACCTTTGAATGCAAGCTGCAGAAAGGTAGGCTTTTTCTCTGCTGTTCTGCTTTTCACTTTATCAACATGACGTCTCCCATACTTGTCGATGAACTTTTGTGGATAACCGTTAGTAAACAGTTGTCCATCCTACTTCCGCGTCAACCGCACAGTTCACTGGCTGTTCAACTAAGACAAGTGTAACTTAATGACCACCAGGCTTGACCTACTTCTGCTCATCTTATAAGAGAAAGAACATTGTCTTTTAAAGAGAAATGAGTTTAATAAACTCAACTTATGCAGTACACCGATATACTGCAACTATATTTCTATTATTTCTTCAATTCTCAATTGTGACTGAAATGGTTTCTTTTTACCTAAGGTAGTAGCAATAGACAAATTGTGACCACTGAAAGAATATTAACTTCTCATCTGTATACATTCGTAGGTGGGATATAATAAAAGGTTTCCCTATTATAACAAGTTATATTTTATACTCCGGGATGGATAATTTCCTTTATGTCAGAATTATCACGTGCGAGTATTACACTCAGCACTTTGTTTGCTTGTTTGTGTTTGTTTCCTTAGATACTTAAAGCATTTACTGCCACAAATGTCAGGATCTAGTAAAACATATACAACTTTACTACAGCACAGTGTATTACCGCAAACTGTTCTAACTTCGGAACAAAATTTAACTTGGACAAAAGAGAATGATTCAGCTTTAATCCAATTGCATTTAACGCATGGATCAAATTGGGAGTTGATAGCTAATCGGTTAACTACACAAGGCAATTGTTCACAAAAGAAAATTACCGCCTGGGATGTAAGACAAAGATATGAACAAGTTGTACAAAAGTATTGGCCATTAGATGATCAAGAAAATCGTCCATTATCTAGTCTATTATTTCGTAATTCCTTGTATGTGACTTTGAAATATTATGTATATATATTGTTGCTTTTTATTTCCTTAAGGTTGAACGTAACTAAAATGCTTCTCTTTTTTTAAAAAGTCTTATACAATTGCGTGGATCACGATTATAAATAAGTAAACTATGGGAAGAGATCTGGAGTGCTTAGGGTACTGGTATATGAAAGTAAATCTGTTCCGTGAAACGGAGTCAAAGAAACTCTACTACCTTGCAAGTGTGTTGTTAAATACTTTGAAATAAAAAACTATCCAACACTTAATTTTACGTTAGGCTAATTGTAGCTCACTGGTAATGTCTCTGACTGCAGGCAGCACTGGGTAATGCGGGTTCGAATCTCAGAAGGGACATGAGTTCCTTCAAGGTTTCAGATAGGCCTTGCTGACTAGTGAGTGTCAACTAGCACGAAACCTAGGTCAAGCAAGGCTTCCTGAGGCCTATTGCCTCCAACCATCTAATTGTACACCTGTGAAGCACTTCCATTAAATATCCCGTATCCTGAAGACTTTTCATGCTAACCTATATTTACTGTAATGCTGAACTTAGCGGCTGAAATGTGCTCTCTGAATTAAATTTTCAGTACAAAATTGCAGCATTTCAAGTTGTCACACTTCATGCAGTTGGGGAAAATAGGCGCAATGGAGAAAGAATAGTGAAGATGTAGTGGTTTTGAAATGTATCTGCGCTGTAAGACACTTATGAATCGGGTCATTAACCCTCTCTAGCTATTATATCTTTAGGATTCTTAGGAGTCCAGCAACGCAGTTTACATCTGCCTACATGTCTCAAATCAATGGTCAAAGACTTCATGTTTAGATTTGACCGCCGTCTTCTCTTTTCCAGTCTAACCCGCCTGCATTGGACTTCTTTTGTCGACGAAGGCTGTGGTTGAGGATACGTAAAACACACCCTGTTCATTGCAATCGATGGAGCTTCACAAAGTCATCGATAGACTACCTCTTTTTGCACTCAGCATTGTTCGACATGTAACACCATCATTATTGGATAGATGGATATTTATGGATAAAAACCATTAACCTTGTCATATTTTCAACTTTTAATATCCGTATGTAACAGTTGTAAAGAAAGACGGAGCGAACTGCTATATACCCTGATGAACACATCTGTCGATGAATAATCCGATATCACATCTATGCCAGAGAGGATACGAGCGGGTAAATGTCAGATGAGTTTGTTCTGTATTTTTGCTGAGATAGTATTAGCAGTCAGTTCACTAGAGCTGTTGCAACTCCCCAGTGTATTGATTTCGGTAAGCCATCAGTTGTTGTTATGTTCAGTTGGATCCGCTTTTGATTCTAATTTCTGATCGAAAAGAACTTTTCCGACAAAATGTTGTTGTTCGGTCTTTTTCAGTTGGATTTTATTCCTTAGATCTTGAAAGTGTGTGTGTGTGTGTAACACATTCTATTTTGATCTTTTTTCTCCTTATCTGTTTCAGAGTATCTTGGTCAAACAATTTGAAAAATAATAATAATAGTAATGATAGTAATAGCAATATTACAGTGTCAAATCCCGGTGATCAACCATTGAATCAGACTTCTCGACCTGCTTACATAATCCCTCTCTCATCATTAAAGTCGAAATCAGAAGTAACGGCAACAACGAAAACGGGCAGTTGGAAAATTCGTTTAATGCAACCTACGCATGATTCAGGAGTAGGTGTTACAAAGGTGTTTTATTTTCGATTATATTTACAAAATACTAGTGATTAAATATTAATTACATGTTGTCGTGATTCTTGTACTTACTCTAACATGGAATCACATTGATGACAAGCAATCAATAAGGAGAGAGAGAGAAAGAAAGAAATGGAAATCCTCGAATGAAGACTCTTCATTCACCTTTAAATTGAGCTAAGAAAGAAACATTCTATTAAACCGGAAAATCCTGAATAGGATAAGGTCAAATATCGTAAAATTTCATTACCAGTCATTACTATATACCACTGCAGACATTCGGATTTTCTACACTTTAAAGTGGAACTTGTAGTATTCGCAATTCCAATGTGGTAGAAAACCTCTTAAGATCATTCGGATAAGAGTCTCGCCTTTCTATAATGCTTTGTATATTTAAAGTTTGGTCACTGATTGATATCAGTTAGAGAACCATTGAAAACTAGCCACCGGGAGTACTAGAAGGTTGTTTCGTGCTACTTTGGGTGGGGATCTTCAGCTTTCGAACCCACTGGAGTTCTAGTCTGATTTTCGAAGGTTCTCTAATTGATCAAACTTAAAACAAATCGAATCCCTGCAAACTAACTCTTGAAAATTGATCTGATGATGGTCTCTAGTGACTGGCTATAGGATGAGAAGTTGCCTGGAGTTCTAGTGAGAAGTCGTGACCAGTCGCGTCCACCATATCGGGTGTAAAGACGAATACTCACTGTTGATACTGGCTGGTGGTCGTGCTAAAATCATGAGTTAGTTGAAGTTAGTATTCATGATTCCTAGGGGTTGAATGATCAACGAGCTTGTCTTGTAACAGAGGTGATCCTGGATTGATACTTTAAGCTCCAAACTAGGATGAAACATCTGTTCAGCCCTTTGTACTGGTTTTCAATGGTTCTCTAGCTGATATCACTCCATGGGCAAACTTGATTAAAGTCAAATCCCTATAAACTAATTCTTGAGGTTTCTATTTTTGCATTTATTTGATCCTGATACAATCCTGATTACGCCAGAAATGCTTTGTAATTACATGAATTTAAATTGTTACATATATACCAGCATTTTCGACCTATGAATTAGCATCAAAGCAGTTATGATCACTCTGTTATATCATCAAGGGTTGTTTTTCACGTAATAAAATCTACAGAACATGATTTTTACACTGTCTGATAATTTACTAGCTTTTGTCTCAATTAGTTAGATAGATAAAACATGTCTCTGTGAAGCACGTTTTACTAATCTGATGAAGATTTCGTGTCTCGTTATGGTTCAAAAATAAATAAATAAATAACTGACTAACCAAATAAAACAAATATGCTAACCGAATAAGGATGAGTCAGTCGCCTAATGTTGAACAACTGAACTTTTTGATCGATGATTACGTCATTCCAAAATGTTTTTATGTGCCTTTTCCTAACCTTTAGAATTTATAAGTATATTTTCCCCTAATAAGCTCTTTGACCTTAACTATCTTTTCAAACATATAATTAATAATTATGTAATGTGTCAAATGTTAATTCTTCTGTTGTTTTTTCTTCATAAGACAAAAAGAGAATTAGATAAACTTGTATTAAAGTACAAGTTCTTTGTTGCTTACACTAGGATGATTCAACGACATTGTGAATGTTTTCTTTCCTCATGCATTCATGTATGTATGTATGTGTGTACGCCTCCAGAAGTGATTGAAAGAACTGTCATTAATAATCCTTTTTTGATTAAATGAAATATCATTGAGTAGAATAGTAACATTTGTTAAGTTATTAGATAGTCGGAGACAATTCAGTCCGCACCTAAGAAAGGGCTAGACACGTCACACTAGTTACTAGTGTCCAATCAAAATACCCACTACAGTCCTACAGGAGGTCAATCGCGAGCCTGAATTGCTCAGTGGTAACGTCTCTGACTGCTGACGGGACTGGGTGACGCGCGTTCGAATCTCAGAAGGGACATGATTTCCTTCAGAGTTGCAGGTACGCCTTGGTGACTGGTGAATGCCAACTAGCACGAAACCTAGATCAGGCAAGGCTTCCTCTGGCCGATTGCCTCCAGCTATCTAATAACATCAAATCAATGTGCACCTTGTTGGCGAGCTACCCAGTGGCATGGTGGCCACATTGCAAACCTGACTGATAGAATTCAGTCTGCACTAAAGAGAGGACTAGACACGTCACACTAGTTACTAGTGTTCAATCGAAATTTGTTAAGTTATTCGGATTCGACTGATTTGGAGGTCGGTTTCGTCAAAAAACTGCGACATCAGTTCAATATCATTAAAAATAAAAATGTCTGCATTGAGTCATGAAGAAAATTGTTTTAATGGAGTGCTAATGATTTTGTGGTTGTCGTCTATCTTGACTAGAATGAGTTTCCAGTCAAGATACTGTAGCCGACTGAAAATAATATAATAATAATAATATAATATAATAATAAAATATTCCCTTCCCCCCCCCACACACACATACTTGAGTAGACACAAAAGTCGAATTTAACTGCGATAGCAACCTTTATTAAAGAAAATACCGGATGTATATCGTCTACAAAACCACGGAGATTTAAATCATAAATGGGCAATCAATATCTGATTGACTGTATCAATTATGACTATACAGCTGCTGACAACGGCATGTTCCTCTTAACAATTATGGAAGACAGTTCAGCAAAGAAGGTTTCTTGTATTGACGAAATCATTTTCAGACGGTGGGCAATCGTATTTATACTTACGTATTATTGAGTGATTGGGAGAGGGCGGGGTATGTGGATGATACTTTCATTACAGTTGACCAGAATGTTGACATCAGAATGATAACGAAGAAGTTCAGTAACAACAACTACCACCATTCTATCAAATTTACATCAGAATTAGAGATGAACTTCGAATTTCATTTAAGGATGTTTTGTTTAAAAAAAATGATATCTAACAGTTCTCTCTTCAGAGATCAGTCTACATGAAGCCTAACGTGCCAGACGTTATCACTACAGCGTGTACGTCATATTTTTACTTTTCTGTGATACCTCTGTACATTTATTAACTGTCGCTTATGTATTATTGTTTTTGTCTTCTTGGAACTTTTACTGTGTGCAGTTCAGCGAATCTGGTCTATCAAATATTTCACAATCTGCAAGTAGTTCCCAACAATCACTCAGATGTTCGGCTGTGAAGGCTATGGCCAACAGGTAAGCAATCGCTTTTATCTTCGTTTGCGTCCTAATATATATATATATATATATATATATATATATAATTGTTCTGAGTGGAACGTAGGGCTTCAACAACACATCTCCACTTTGTTTTGTTTTCTACCGTCCTCTTCGGCTCGGTCCACGATTGACCAAACTCTCTCATCTCTTACTCACACTGACGACCCACTGATCGCTTCCCATTTGTACTTCACTCGAGGGCGTGGCGCGCTATGTCATTCGACGGCCTCCTCAATGTATGCCCGATTTATCTCCATTTTCTCCTACATATTTTTGAGCGGTCGGCTCTTGTTCGGTTTGTCCCCACAGTTTCCTGTTACTAAACCTTTCTTCAGTACGGGGCCAGCGAAGGCAGCTGTTGGTAAAAGTCTGCAACCTGTTAGACATCCTTTTCATAACGTGCTAGGCAAGTTTTTGACCCGTATAGAAGAACCAACTTGACATTAGTGTTGGAAATGCTAATGTTGTTCCTTATGCTGAGTGTAGAAGGATTTCCAAACTGGCTTCAGGTTGATAAAAGGCGTATCTTGCCTTTCTGATTCTGACTTTGAAATCTTCATCCGTTCCGTCTGTAGTTGAAACGATGCTTCTTAGATAAGTGCAGAAAGGAAGTAACCTCTGTCAAATCTTTCCCGTTGATAGTGATTGGTGCTGTTTGTTGTTGTTGAGGTTCGTTGGTTATCTTCAACACCTCCGTCTTCTCTGTGTTTACTTGCAATCCTGTCTTCGCTGCCGGCCTCTTCAGCCAGTTTGTTGGTTTTCGCTTGCAAGTCTTCAAGTTTGTATGAAGTTAGGCATATATCGTCTGTGGAATCCAGATCTTTTAGAGTCTTCTTGTCGGTCCCACATCTGCCTGTCTTCTTGTTCCCACTGACAGTCTGACGCATAATCCAGTCCACCACAATTAAGAATATCATCGGTGGTATTGGACAGACAGTCTTGTCTTACTCCTATATGCACTTCAGACGCCTCGCTGAGTTTCCCGTTGTGGATCACCTGACATGTGCCATCGTCATATAGCTGTTGAATGAAGTTGATAAAGACTTTTGAGGTACGTCTTAGTGTTGAAGTAGTTTCCGAATTCTCGATTAACGCTGTCGAAGGAATTTTCGAAGTCAATGAAATTGAGTTAGTGGTTCGGCTGCTGTTCAATGCTTTGTTCTGTAATGACGATGCGTAGAGTTGCAATTTGATTCAGCCTCTCCTGAATCCAGCTTGTTCCGATGGGTGGCGGAGATCAGCATCCAGTGCATCCTTTATTCTCTCTAGGATGATGTGACTTGGCGTGGACAACAGCATGATTACACGCCTATTTACCTAGCTCGCTCGTTTTCTGGTCCCAAGTCCGGGTAAAGAGGGAGGTTTGGGCGTGGGGCTAGCAACCCCACACCACTATACCTATCAAACTGCTAGGGGAACTTCAGCGCACAGAGAATATATTAAAAATACAAAAACCATATATATATATATATATATATATATATATATATATACATATATATACATATATATATATATATATATAGCGAGAGAGAGATTGTGTGACTGTCTAGACACCTTAGGGGATGCTGCAAGTTTTATAGTCTTAATCCATTTGTTTTTATTTCCTACAATTGTCACGTTAAAAGGATGATAAATTACATTCTTATCATGTTGAACAAATACGGCAGACAAGAGAGGAGCTATCGATCTACACAAATTCGATTGTGTACATTCACTGTATCTTACCTTACTCATCCAATATGAAGTTAATCTTGTAGATGTGTAGAAAGAAAATAAATAAGATTGCTATCAGTGTGATGAGTCATCGAATCCCAAATATCCCAGTGTTTAAGGCTCTAGCAACAAAATTGTAATTTACTGGATATTTGTAGTATTGTAGGTATTAAAATATATTTTTACTTTATTTTCACATCTGTGATGCATATTTTCTTCCAAGTTTTGTCTTCCTCCCTCTTGTTGGTCATGCTTTTATCAGATCTCAGATCGCTAGTCAGTCAATAAGTCATTCTTTTTTTTGTTATGTCTAAAGTCTCGTCCCATAGGCGTACTATGTGACATGAAATGCATGTGTGTGTGTGCGTATATATAGATTAGCTGAAGAGGTTGTTTATCTTATCACATTTCTCTCTCATGATGTTAAAATAAAATATTATTCTCTTGAATACTTGTATAGTACGTGTGATCCATAGATTTTTGTTGATCCTCTTGAGAAACTATCCGCCTATTCATTCATAAACCTTTGTGTGTGTGTGTGTGTGTGTAGACAGATATTCGATAAACGATTATCTCTGGACATGTGTTTATTTAACCCTATTCCCTCTAGGTCATATCAAGGTTATAATTTTTTCTGGGCAGAATTTCTATCCCCTAAATTTATTTTTTTTCTCTTCCTCTGTTTGTACCCTACTTTTATCGTAATCTCCATATTCGATATTCTTATTATATCCCATCATACATACACTGATGTCTCGGGAGAAGAGGAGAAGTGAATCTATCCGCATTTTATTTTCGCATATAATCTTATCTATATAAAGTAGTTGTATGTTTGACTCCATGATAAGAAATCTTGACATGGATACAAAGCTGTGTCTTAAGTCTATCTCCAGTGATGTTACAGATGAGATGTTTATTCACTTATCAAGCAAGGGTCATGAAATTGAAAAAAAAATTATCGGAAAGGGTTCTCAGTTTTTTTTATCATAGTTGCACTTCGGTATCGTCCCCGTATGTATTTGCTGAAATCATCAATTGATCTGCTTAATTAATAAAGCGTTGGTGGCATAGCTGTGGTTCAGAGCTCGATCCCCGGCGGACAAACTGCTTTACTTCGCGTCGCCAGTAATAAGAGTGGTAAGGATGGAAGGTTAGACATGAGGCTAGCAACCCCTACCCCGTAAAAATAAATGCCAGTGCTACTGGAACTTCAAAGCTCTATCTTGAAGCCGCTCTATGTTCCACTGGGAACGTAAAGGAATGTGACAAAAAGTTAATAACCATCATCTGAGGGTAGCATAAAAATGTTTTACGTAAATATTTCTCTCACATGTATAAATGGAAGTATAATTACATTACAGAGTGTGAGTGGCGAAAACAAAGCGTGTCATCAAGACACATACATGATCATCAGCATTTTGATCTGGCTCACTTTAGTGAGTTCAGGTTTCCGGAGTGTATTTCACATATGACAGCTGAAACACAATGAATCGTTAGGTGGTAGGTAATATAGTGATAGTATATCTCAGTGGTAGTCGTTGTGAATGGCAGCATGATTTTTACAATACACCTGAAATTCAACGGTCCTTCATGTGAATATGATTAATTCTGATTTGAAGTGAAGTGAAGTTGGAAACACAACAAACTCACGTGAAGCCGCTGTTCATATCCCTTTAAATGTAAAATACCAGAATAAGTCGGAAAGAATTTCAGTTGAAGCACTAAAAAGTCGGTAGAATATGATATTATGATTCACAGAATTTAGAATTCATGACCCATTGGATTCTGACCCAAAATGCTTAATGTGAATGATCAACAGTCCTGGTCTCTCAACTTGAATGTCTTGGATTCAATCTTTGGTGGGGTCGTAAGTGTATGTGTGTGTACTGATGAAGAATTCTAAACTGGGACGAAACAGCGGCGCAGAGTACCATCTTTGGGTTTTCAATGGATCCCTAACTGACATTAATCCGTAATCAAATTTGAAAATCTGTTGGCTCAGTTATGAAGAGTTGCTTCCCATAAATTTTAGTGGATAACATATACTGACCGGAGTCTACTTGTATATGCTGTGGTTTGCAGTGAAATCGACGATACACATGTCGTCCTGTATGTGACCGACCACCCGTCAGCTGCTTGTACGTGTTTTTCCAGTGAGTGGGCTTCGAACCCAGTGTGTATCCCTAAGAAACGTCAACCAGCCGTATTAACTGAACCACAAAAGCAACTTCTTATGCTTTTTTACTCCTTTACGTTCCCAGTGGAACATAGGGGACTTCAAGCTAGAGGCTTGAAATTTCTGTAGCAGTGGTGATTATTTTTACGGGATGGGGTTGCTAGTCTTATGCCCAACCTCCCTTCTTTACCAGTCTTATTACTGGTTTAGTGAGGTAATAATGCAGTGCGTCGGTGGCCAGGGATCGAACCCCGCACCACCTACGTGGTCGACGAGCACTCTACCGCTGTACCACCAATATAATTCAGAATTATTAATTCATGATTTTGGTTTCCCGTTGATATATATCTGACTTGAATATTGACTAGCCTCATTTCGGCACATGGGTTGCTTGAACAGATTCCGTGGTATATATTACCAGAATAAATAACTCGAAGTTGCCAGTTTAGTGGTGAATACAATAATATCGAGACATTTGTTCAAAGAACCGGTATACTAAAATGAAACTGTACAATTCAACCCAGGTATCAACGGTAAATCGAAAAAAAGGGAAACACGAATACATGAACAACACAAATTGTTATGCAAAATAATGATGTATTTTTTTAAAAATATGTACAGTCAACTATCATTCAAAATAATTAGTGATTTCCTTTTGATTACTACTGCCTCGAATTTATTTATTTAAACGCATAAAAACTTGGTACAATATGGCACCAAGAAGGATGCGCCACACAATAATAATAAAACAACATAGATCAAAAGAAAAAAGAAAAGAAAAAAAATATATAAGTAGAGAACGGATAAAGAGCTTCGTCTGGAAGGAAAACAGACACGCTTAAAAAGTTCAAAACAGTATTCGTTAACTATCATCGGGAAGGGAAGAAAGAAGGAAATTGCAACACGTTCGCCACTGATTACGATTCTTGGCCATATCCGATAACGTTTCGAGCCATTGATTTGAGCTATCTCTCGGACCCCAACCAGGGAGTCGTGACACACCAACCGATGCTAATCTAGCACAAAAATCCTTCATCCCACGACGCCATGCCATGGACTGTCCACCTCTCCGCCTTTTCCATCCCGTCCCAGGGCTGGTCAGCGAACAGAGACCTGTACGGAAGCCTCTGGGATGTCATTCGCAGCAAATATGCAAGCCACTGGAGCCGGTGTTTCCAGATTATGATACTCAATGAATGGTGATCTTCACTGTGTTCAAACACACGCCGCCGAACCTCAGAATTACTCACGCGATGATGCCATCCATCGAACGCAAGCAATCCTGCGGGGATAGCGATGATCGAACACGCAGAGTCGCCGGACATCCTCAGCTCGGAGAGGCCATGTTTCACAGGCGTAGAACAGGGCAGCCCGCACCGAAGCATTGTATACCCGACCTTTGACAGCCAGGCTAACATCACGACGACGCCATAGTTGGCTGAAGTTGATGTAAGGTTGCCTCGTAAATCGCCTAAGTAGCTAGTGAGAGAAATCCGGTGGTTTCACTAGATTCACTTCTCACTGTGAGTTGAATCAGATCACGTATTATATACTGTTGATGGATGGTTTGTCTCCGAAGGAGGGAATAACAACCGTCTGGTGTTTAGATCACTTCGTATACAACTAGTCAGTAGTATTTTAGTTCTATTTTATTCCCCTCATTCTCATATAATTTTTTTAATCTTTCTTACAGCTCCCTCAATTCCCTGTTGTCTACATCTACTCCAGTGGATTTAATTAAAGATAATCCATATAGCGGTAGTAGTAGTAGTAGTATTACTAGTCCAGACAAAAAACTTGACTTCAGTCTTTCATCTTTCATTAAACATGAATCTCCACTGAGACATCTTGAATCAGATATTGACGATCATACGGCTTCATCATCTTCTGCCTATAGCTTCCCTAATGAATATTCTTCAAGATTAACTATTTCACCATCACTTGATGATGATCAGACACCAACAGGAGGAGGAGCAGGAGGTGTATCCAATGATTTGTTAAATGTTATGACCACATCGATTGATGATCATCAACATGATTTTGTTATACAAACACCTACAAAAGCGTTGAGTGAAGCTGATCAATTATCATTTCATTTAGCTAGTCCACCAGTTGTTCTAGGCATTGAAGGACGATATGCTTATAATAATAATGGTAGATTTGATATAGAAAAAACACCGGATAGTCAGTCATATGCAGAGGATAGATCTTTGCAAAGGCGGGTAAGTCCTTATTCTTGTGTTGTTGTTTTTCGGTCTTAAATGAATAATTGACTAATTTCACCGTCTTTTCTCCATGCATATGTCACCTGTTTATAATGACGTTATCGATAAGCGATAAATGTTTAAAGTTTCTCACAGTCGAAGCATCATCTCATAGTGTTACCTACTTTTTGAACGTGAGTACGTCTGCTTATTTTTCTCAGCCTTATGAAAATATTTAACTAGTTACTTTTCAGTTAAATGAAACCCTTTAACATTTCTATGATACCAATACTTGAAAATTAATCTGATGCTCGCTAGTGACTGGCCCTATTCAGGCAGTTAACCTGGGGTTCTAGTGGGAAGCCGTGACCAGTAGGGTACAGCAGGTTGAAGATGAGGCAGTAACTCATCGAAAAAGACATTGTGAAGTGGTCGCGCTATGTCGTGAACTGGCAGAAGTTAGAATTCAAGGATCATTGGATCGGGTCCCAGTGGCTCAATGGTCTACGAGCTCGCCTTGTAACCAGAAGGTCCTGGATCCGAACCCCGGTGGGTGCGTACTGATGAGGAGTCCCAAACTAGGACGAAACAGCTGTCCAGTACTCCCAGGTTTTCCAGTGGTTCTCTAACTGATGTCAGCTCATGATTAAATCCTCCATGTAATCAAACAAAATCCCTACAAAACCAATACTTGAAAATTTCTATGATTGACTGATTAAAAATGCCCATTAAATTTTCTTTCAAAAGAATGATTTTTTTATTCCTTCACGTTCCCAGTGAAACATAGGGCGACTTCAAGCTAGTGGCTTGAAGTTTCTGTAGCAGTGCTGTTTATTTCTTGCAGGATGGGGTTGCTAGCCTCATGCCCAAGCTTTCCTCTTTACCAGCATTATTTCTGGCTTGGCGAGGTAAAGGAGTGCGTTGGCGGCCGGGGATTGAACCCCGGACCATGTGCATGGTCGGCGAGCATCCTAACCGCTATGCCACCGACGCACAAAAGGAACAAGAAATATTCTTTTCGATAACCTGCTCTTCATCAGGTACTACAGTTATATCAATAATGGTGAGTGAATTAGTGTTATTAACAGCATGAATGTTCTTTAAACAACATTGAATCAATTAGAACAAAATCAATGGATTACAGTTCGATAGCATCAACATAGAATAAGCTGAATATCAGAAAAATCAGCGAAGATAGATAATATTACAAATTCATGAATTTATAGTCTGCACTGAAGGCCAGTCAGGGCAGTAGAAGTGGCTGAACTTTTCTTCTTCTGCACACAGAGCACTGGTTGTTTAAGGCGAATCGCGGTAGCCTCTGGTGTTTGGAGTATGCGGTACCTGGATGCTTTTGGCAATTTATTTGGTGCTCAGTATATGATGGAGATGGATTCTTCAATGCTCTCTTTATGGTCGATTTGTACCAGGTGTTCTAATATCGAACTGTTGATGCTTCTCACTACACCTTTATTTCTCCATATTGGGAGATGTTCTCGAGTAAGCATGATGAATCAAGTTCCTAGAGCTCCACTACAAGCGCAGTTGAATAGTTTGGTAGATGCACTTGGAAGTGGCTAGTCTAGGTACTTCATCTTTTGATTGAGGAGTCACCACCGGTCGTGTAATAAACATGATTTGTAGTCTGCCAGTATTAAAAGTTCTTTGAACTGATTTTCTTAACGTCTTCGTAATTATTTCGCTAGGTATATATATCACCATTGAATCACAGTTGTATGTATAGAGGCTTGTTGTTTACGGATAGTGAATAGTCCTTTTCCGCTTTTTTTGTCATGTGTTGCTTGATAAATTTGTCGGGATAGCTATTTTCAATCAAGGTATCATATACAATCCTTAGTTCATCTTCAATTGCCTTTTCTAAGCACATACATCTAACCCTATGGCTGAGGGTCTTTACTAAATTTCTTTTATACTGGGGAGGGACGAGGCTATGAAAATGTGTATATTGTCCTGTCCATGTGCTTTCCGTATGGCAATATCTCTTTATACTTCCATGTGGTTTTCTTGTAAGGAGGACATCTGGGAAGGCAGCTCTTCGCACTTGAATTTCATAGCAGAATTTACTTCATTGAAGTGAGTTATTTTTGGGTTCCTATCTGAATCATTATGAAAAAGAATAAAGGCGTCATCCATATACATAAGTTAGGTTTCTTAATGTAGACCTCAACAGCCTTAGAAATATGTAGTAGAATACCAAATAAAATTAAGGAAATTTCTGCAAACATTTGAGGATCACCATCTTAGTTAGCCTCGTGAAGTTATGATTCATGCATATGCAGGCATAATAAACTTTCGGTTAATTTATTTTGGAGGGTCTTCACAGTCGTGCAGTCAATCAGATATTGTTTATAGATTTATGGTTTAAATTTTCCGTTGATTTGTAAACGATATTTTATGCTCTGTATTGTGAAGAGTTGTTATAGTGGTTAGATATGACTTTTTTATGTCAGTGCGTGGAATATTTTCAAGTGATCAGTTGAACATAGTGTTATGTCTGCAGGTGTATTGTAGTCATGTAAGACGACAACCTCAAAAACAGTAACACTTCGTTATGACAAGTTTGCACTCTCTGTCTGTCTGTCTGTCTGTTTTCGACATGGAACTTTGCACCAACGTGCACCAGTTCTACTTCGCCACACTCCATGTAGCACGCATAGCAGAAGAGGAAATTAGAAGAAATGCATAATAGAGACAGTAAACGGAGGTGTGAGAAAAAGGAATAGTAATAACGAAGAACAATATAGTTTCACTGGAAATTATAAGTCACAAATAGGAAGTGAAGTGGTAGAGCACGTTGACCGCTTCACTTATTTGGGAAGTACCATCAGCCCCAACGGGCTGATCTCTGACGAAATCTCAGCACGAATACAAGGGGCTCGTTTCACATTTGTTAGTTTACGCCGACTCTGGCGTAGACGAGATGTTCGACTATCGACCAAAGGGCGGGTGTACTGCTCATCAGTCCGTTCCGTCCTCCTGTATGGTTGTGAGATCTGGCCACTGAGAGTGGAAGACATGAAAAGACTAGCTGCCTTTGATCATAGGTGCCTGCGTTCTATTTCCCGTGTAAATTGGCATAATAAGGTGAGCAACATGGAGGTTAGGCGTCGAGTTCTAGGTAAACAGGAGAAATCAATCGACGAAGTCGTGAAATTACAAAGACTGAGATGGTTAGGACATGTGTTACGCATTCCTGCCTGGTCATCGCCTTCCTCGACGAGCAATGTTAGTGGATGTAGGGTCAGGCTGGAAAAAAGCTAGTGGTGGTCAAACCAAAACATGGCATCAGTCAATGAAATCCACAACAGTTGGTCTTAGCCACGTAGGAAGGTGTAGACTTCCAGGCTGGGGTCCTCGGGACGGTAAAAATCTATGGTTGGAAACAATTGGTGACATGGCTCAAAACCGTTCTCAGTGGCGCAGATGCATCCACTCCTTGTGACTTATGACCTCCAATGAAACTGTTTTGTATTTCTTTATTACTCCTTTGTCTCACACCTCTCCTCACTGTTTCTATTATGCTTTTCATGTACTTTCTTCTCTTGCTTCGCGTGCTACACGGAATGTGGCGACTTGAACTTCCGCACATTTGTGCAAAGTTCTATGTCGAAAACAGACAGAGACAGAGATCTGGCCACTGAGAGTGGAAGACATGAAAAGACTAGCTGTCTTTGATCATAGGTGCCTGCGTTCTATTTCCTGTGTAAAGTGGCATAATAACGTGAGCAACATGGAGGTTAGGCGTAGAGTTCTAGGTAAACGGGAAATCAGTCGACGAAGTCGTGAAGCTACAAAGACTGAGATGGTTAGGACATGTGTTACGTATGCCAAGCCATCGCCTCCCTCGACGAGCTATGTTAGCGGATATAGGGTCAGGCTGGAAAAGAGCTAGCGGCGGTCAAACAAAAACATGGCATCAGTCAATGAAATCCACAACAGTTGGTCTTAGCCACGTAGGAAGGTGTAGACTTCCAGGCTGGGGTCCTCGGGACGGTAAAAATCTATGGTTGGAAACAATTGGTGACATGGCTCAAAACCGTTCTCAGTGGCGCAGATGCATCCACTCCTTGTGACTTATGACCTCCAATGAAACTGTTTTGTATTTCTTTATTACTCCTTTGTCTCACACCTCTCCTCACTGTTTCTATTATGCTTTTCATGTACTTTCTTCTCTTGCTTCGCGTGCTACACGGAATGTGGCGACTTGAACTTCCGCACATTTGTGCAAAGTTCTATGTCGAAAACAGACAGACAGACATAAGTCACAAGGAGTCGGTGCATCTGCGCCACTGAGAACGCTTTTGAGCCATATCACCAATAGTTTCCAGCCATTGGTTTTTACCGTTCCGAGGACCCCAACCAGGAAGTCTACATCTTCCTACGTGGCTTAAACTAACTGTTGTGGATTTCATTAACTGGTGCCATGTTTTGGTTTGACCGCCGCTAGCTCTTTTCTAACCTGACCCTATGTCAGCTAACATTTCCCCGTCGAGGAAGGAGATGACTACACATACGTAACACATGTCCTAACCGTCTCAGTCGATGTAATTTCACAGCCTTGTCGATTGATTTCCCCTCCCACCTAACTAGTATTCGACTGAAGCCTAACCTCAATATTGCTCACCTTATTATACCTTTTCATACGGGAGATAGAACGCAGGCACCTATGATCAAAGACAGCTAATCTTTTCATGTCTTCCACTCTCAATGACCAGGTCTCGCAGTCATAAAGGTGGACGCAACTTGGTTGCATGGCTCAAAACAACTATCAAAGGCTTCGTGGATTGATGTCTGGTTTCGGTTCAATCACTCCGATCTCTTTTTCAATCTAATCTTATGTTATTCAACATTTTTCATCGAGGAAGACGATGGTTTGACCTACGTAACACGTATCTGAACCTTCTCAATGGTTAGGGTTTCACAGCCTCGTTGATGTCGACTTCCTTTCCTTGCCTAGATCTTTACGCTTAACCTCAATGTCGCTCACTAGATTTTATCACTTAAAAATGAGAGATGGAACTCAAACCTCTGTGGTTAAAGACAGTTAGTCTTTACACATTCAGTGGGCATGTCTCAGCAATAAACAAGGACACAGTGAATTGCTGCACCGTACACATGTTCCTTGATTGCTAGCCGGAAGGTTATCACGTCTACTTCTTAAATGACGTGCTGAGGATTCTGTAATATGTATAAACACATTTCTGAGAATAAAGTTATTGTTAATATTAATGAAAGAGATGTAGTTTAATTAGTTCATCCTCAGTGACCTACTACTTACTACGTCGTCGTTGTAGTAGGCTAGTTAAAAGTACTTGTTTATGTTCATTAATTAAAGATTGGTGAGGATAATGTTTGTTTTCTTTTGCGTTCATTCCGCCATTATTTACTTATCTGGTAGCAAATGATACTGAAACCAAGTATTTCTCGTCTAAAACTGAAAGAATTACAAGCTCATGTCCGATCATGGTACACACACACACACTATCACATTTGAAGACATTTTAATTACTCGAATGATGATGAAATGTTGACTAAACCCGTATTTACTTCCATTTTTACTTAATTGACGATTTCCAGTGCCAAGAACACACCTGCTTTATAAGAAACCAACTGAAGTAAATCCATTTGTACTTGAATTATTTTCTCTAGAATAATTTGTTAGTCTACTATCCATGGTTTTAGCATCCCCCTACCCCTAAAGTTCGTTTATTCCCTCATGTAATTGTCCTACCCTATGCATCATGTGTTTGAACACCAGAATGACTAAGTGCAAGCAATGCATTCAGTTTAAGTACTTGACTTTCAACCAATGGGTCCTAGATTCAAATCCCACTCTGTTTACTTCAACTATGGGTAATCGGATGGTTAATATCATCAGTCCCTAGACGATAAGCGTTTTGCTTATAGCCTGCTTCATGAATTATCTCTCTTAGATAATTTGGTTCTAACAAAGCAGGAGGCGGTGGTCTATGCAGCTGTTTTTGAAAAGTTATCAACAAAACTAGATCTGTTCTTTAAGTTATTACGCGACAATATACATCAAACGCTTTCCATGTTTTTAGAGAATTCCATCAATATAACAAATAACTTAGTGTGTGGTGTACAGTATGTGTTTTATTCAGTGGATTGTATTTTGTTTTATTGTCAAAATATTTGTGCGGCATATTATTTTTCCATATTCATGATGTGTATTTATTTATTTTGGTTTACTTCTATAGAGACCTTTATGTACCAGGTTATTTGATGATACTTCAACATATACAGAATATAGCAATAGTAATAATCGGTTAAAGAGAAGTTATCCAACATCCTCGTATGATAAATGTAATTCCAATTGTCTAGCTGTTTTGACTGCTACAGCTACTGCATGGAATCTTTCACGCTTACCATCTGCATCGTTGTTGGCGATGACTGCTGCAGCAAAAATGAAAACAACAACAGCAATGTCGTTGACTGTTGCACAGAAATCCAGACTATCCTGTGCACTTGCCAATAATAATAATAAGTTGAAGGATAATAACAGATTCAATTCAGATGCATACAAATCTTCACTTACTTATTCATCAAATGGTAGAGATTCTATGATGCAGTATTATCATGATCTTTCATCTTATAAATCCTCCCAACAACAAGCATCTTGTAGTAATGTTATCACCTGGGATCCATTAACCCCATTAGAGTTTCCAATAAGACAACAACCACAGTTAATGCTACGACGTGTTGTTCAAGTCGGTGATGATGTAAGTTTTATGCATGTGGAAAGGATAACTTTTCACCTAGTTAATTCATGCATGATTTTGTTTTTATCTTATCGCAATAGTAAATTGATCATGATGATGATGGTGTGTGGATGATAAAGACAAGGTTGAAAGCAAACAGACACAGTAGTAGTTATCTGCTGACAAGGCTAATTCGTAATTTACACGTTTTTAGGTGAAATTCCACCTTCATTTCATGTGATCTGCTTGATATCATGAATAGTAGTTAGAAAATGAAGTGCGTCGGTGGCATAGCGGTTAGGATGCTCGCCGACCATGCACATGGTCTGAGGTTCGATCCCCGGTCACCGACGCACTCCTTTACCTCGCCAAGCCAGAAATAATGCTGGTAAAGAGGAAAGCTTGGGCATGAGGCTAGCAACCCCATCCTGCAAGAAATAAACAGCACTGCTACAGAAACTTCAAGCCACTAGCTTGAAGTCGCCCTATTTTCCACTGGGAACATGAAGGGATAAGAAGTTAGAAAATGAAACACATGCATGACGCTGTATACTACTACTACTACTACTAATTGATTGATACGAGTAGTTAGCTGAGGTCAGCCCTCAAACGAGCGATGTTTAGATCACTTCGATTTGGCTGATTGGTTATGATTGGTGTGAAAGTACTTATTTCAGTCATTTAGTAGTATGTATAGGTTCATGCTGTCTTTTATTTTTGCATTTGAACAAATCAAGAATAACAAATTTACCAGGATAATAATATGAGCTGGCGTTTTTATTATTAATTCTTTTTATTTATTTTTGATTACAGCTGGATTCCACGCTGTATTTTTGGTACAAATATGGAACTTTCGGCATGGATATCGGTAGCCCAAATTTTGCAGGCCGACCATAGATATCAGGTGTGCGTCGGCAGGGGATCGAACCTCGGACCATGTGCATGGTCGGCGAGAGTCCTAACCACTGTGTCGCCGACTCACTTTCAAGGATTCTTCCCAATTGACAACAACCTGAATACAATATAGATTTAAACACACTTTTTTTCTTCTCTCAATGACAAGGAGTAATTGATAGGACCTAAGAGTAACATACGCCTGGAATGATGTAAGTGTAACGATAGAGGATGAGGGACTTGATGAAGAAAGGTTTATTTTGAATCTGGTGGTGTCTGTATAGAGCGAAATTGTGTACACCTTATCTTCAACACAGCATTTGTACACATCTCCCATGTTGTGCTACTTCTGGCCTTCCTTCATATTGTGTTTCTTTCACGTCTCTCATGTATCTCCACAACGCTGCATCGTTTGCCTTCTCTGATGTAACAAATTTATCTCCTTGTTATTCGATGTTTTTATACCGATGAACATCTCTTTATATGTTGCTGATAAATGTTATCAGTAGTACATGCCACATTAGTTGTTAAATTATTAAGAGTTAAAAAGATTGTCTAATTATAGGACAATTAGACTAATACTCTTGAGAATAGAGTTCAAAATGTTTTGGGTCGAGATAAAATTTCACTAGAATGAGTATAACACAATATAATAATAGATTATGTAACTGCATAAAATATCAAACAAAACAAAAGGGTGGAGTGAGAAACGTTCACATGAAAGGGTAGAATTTTCTGTACAGGTCAGAAGATGTAGGTGTATAATCCAGAGAGAGAGAGAGAGAGAGAAAGAAAAATCTACCTTGCCACGGTTTTGTTGATGTAATCACTGAAAAATGATTAGTCAAATCTACATAATCTGAATGAGACAGTGGTGAATATTTTTTACTGCTTACAACTTACAAAACAGAGTATACAGTTTGATTACATCATGCATTCTCCCACATCTTCTGTTCTGTTTAGAAAATTTGCTTGTTTCATTGTGAGTGTTGCTCTCACCTTACTGCTTTTTTCTGTTTTATAAAAACATGTTTTTTTGTAGTTACATAATCTATTATTATATTGTGTTATACTCATTCTAGTGAAATTTTATCTCGACCCAAAACATTTTGAACTCTATTCTCAAGAGTATTAGTCTAATTGTCCTATAATTAGACAATCTTTTTAACTCTTAATAATTTAACAACTAATGTGGCATGTACTACTGATAACATTTATCAGCAACATATAAAGAGATGTTCATCGGTATAAAAACATTGAATAACAAGGAGATAAATTTGTTACATCAGAGAAGGCAAACGATGCAGCGTTGTGGAGATACATGAGAGACGTGAAAGAAACACAATATGAAGGAAGGCCAGAAGTAGCACAACATGGGAGATGTGTACAAATGCTGTGTTGAACAATAACAATAATAACAATTTCGCTTTATTCCAGAAACAGTACTTGTGGTACAGTGTGGAATTTTCAGCACATATCTACAATATTGCATCTAATTTCATCATGCGTTTAAAAGGAGTATTATAAAAAAAAAATATTTAAAAAAAAAAACAAAAAAGACAATAACAACAAAAAAACCAAAAAGAAACACAGAAATAACAAAAAAAATGCAATAAAAAATGCCAAGTAAAAAGGAAGATAAACACAAATAATGAAAAAATATTTCAGTATTGGTTAGTGGAAGCTACGATATGAGTATGCGTGGTGAACAGTAACAGCTATAATCATACGGGGAATTATGAGATGTTCTTAAAAAAATGTTTATAGCTAAGATGATCAGTTAATCTGATTGAACAACACTAAGCAATCATAAGATAAACATTTCAGGTTGTGTTTTTTTTTTATTGTCAGCACTAATGCGGTTGTTTGTAGTGGTAGTGTGAGGAATCATGTATAATACAAAATTTTTTTTAAGATGTGGATAGTGGCAATAACAAACAAGATTGTCAGTTAAATAGTGCCGAACAAAGAACAACCACAAAACTAATGTTACATGATGGTTAATGACGGGACAATTTTTAATAATCATAGTGATAATACAGTCGGACCCAGTAGATGTATAAAGAAGGAATAGAATAAAGAATAAAAAAGTAAGCCAATGATAATAATTTTAAGCAGCTAAGTATGTTTAAGAAGGTTGTTCACTATAGAGTACAAATAAGAGAGTGTAAGGGGGAAATAACAAGGGCCAAAATTATGTTATTAACAACAAAGCAAGTCATAGGTTTCACGCCTAACATTGTCTCTGTCACTTAGAACACGGGCCAAATATGGTATCGTTGAGTTCCTATACTTGGTTGTACGAGCATATATTATTTTGTACTGATTTCTGGTTCTACCTGATGAGATGCAAGGAGAGAGTTGGGAATAGAGGGGGTGTTGGCAGTCAGAGAGTATGGTTTTAGACCATTTCTCACATGTATTCAGATGCTTATCCACTAATGTTGTGACGAGCTGACTGAGTTTTACACCGCTAGTCCTACTAACTACCTTCAACATCCTTCTCAGGATGGTATAATCCTTTTTCAGTAACCCAGGAAAGACTAACGGGGAACAGTAAAGTAGAATAGGTAGGATACGAGAGTTGACAAATTGTGAAAGCAGAGGTTGAGTGACTCCAGTTAGTCTGAGTTTCTTAATGTAGTAGGTTAGACGAAACACTTTCTTGGAAATCATTTGGATATGAGATGACCAAGTAAGGTCGGAAGATATAACTAATCCGAGGTATTTTGCATTAGACTTTGTTTCAATTATAGTCCCCTCAATTCTACAGACATCATGAGTGCTTACTAGTGTTTGTAGATCTCGTTTGTGCCTAAAGGAGAAGTCGACAGTCTGGCATTTTGAGGGATTCAGCGTTAGGCCATTTAGTTTAGACCACTGACTGATGTCCGACAGGAAGCTATTTAATTTGAAGCAGTCTGACTGAGACTTAACGGGAAGCGAAACAGTCAGGTCATCTGCATATTTGACGAAGTTGATTTCGTCTGAGAGATAAGGTGTACACAATTTCGCTCTATACAGACACCACCAGATTCAAAATAAACCTTTCTTCATCAAGTCCCTCATCCTCTATCGTTACACTTACATCATTCCAGGCGTATGTTACTCTTAGGTCCTATCAATTACTCCTTGTCATTGTTTAAATCTATATTGTATTCAGGTTGTGGTCAGTTGAGAAGAATCCTTGGAATAATAAAAATGTGAGCGCATATTATCATCCTGGTAAATTTGTCGTTCTTGGTTCGTTCACGTTTATTAATAGGAAGAATTGTGTAAGGTATTTAATTATGGATTGTTGGTTTAGACACTCTATTTGCAACAGGTGTGCATCAGATTTTTTGACCAATTTCAACTACATAGGTGTGGATGGCTGGTTACTGTCGTTAACTGCCACCTTAATGCAGCGTTCAGACGTGCATAACACAGTGATCTAACAAACTATGCTTCCTTGAACTTATTTTTCTACAGATCTGACCATGTCTGGAGGGTTGTTCGGACAGCAGTTAGACTAAAAGCAGCTATTGTGGTGTACATGGGCACCAGAACCTAACACATTGAATGGCTTATGAACCTGCCGATCACCAGCGATCATGGGAACTTAGCTGCTGATACTGCTTCACTGCCTTGTGGATGATATACTTCAAGTTAAAGGCTTAGGAATTGGTCCCTTAGGACAACCATCTACTTCGGTCTGGGTGCCCAGGCAGTGTCCCAGCCTTTTCATTTTCTCGGTATATACATTTGATGAGGTTCTGTATTTTAAATAAATAAAAATAAGTGTCATATTAGCTACTGTACAGTAGATATGTAACCCTCATTAGGTAAAAATATTCCAGTTTGTACCCAGAAGTTAATAATTAATTAAGCTCCATGCAGATATTCTAATATAACAACTTCAGTATAAAAAATACAAGTTAACACAGCATACTACTATCTATTTTGATTGACCACTAGTAACTAGTGTGATGTGTCTAGTCCTTTCTTTGGTGCAAACTGAATTCTATCGGTCAGATTGGCAATGTGGCCACCGTTCTAGGTAGCTTGCCGTCATTGATTTGATGATATTAGATGTTTGGAGGCAATCGGCAAAAAGCTTTGGACCTAGGTCTCGTACTAGTTGGCACTCGTCAGCAAGTCGTATCTGCAACCTTGAAGGAACTCATGTCCCTTCCTGCCGATCGCCTCCAACCATCTAATATCATCAAATCAATGTGCACCGTGATGTCGAGCTACCCATAATGGTGGCCACATTGTCAACCTGACTGATTGAATTCAGTCTGCATCAAAGGAAGGACTAGACCCCTGGTTACTAGTGGTCATTCAAAATACCCACTACAGTCCTGCAGGAGGTCAATCGCGAGCCCGAATAGCTCAGTGGTAACGTTTCTGACTGCTGACGGGACTGGGTGATGCGGGTTCGAATCTCAGAAGGGACATGAGTTCCTTTAATATTGCAGATACGTCTTGGTGACTGGTGAGTGTCGACTAGCACGAAACTTAGGTCAAGCAAGGCTTTCTGAGGCCGATTGCTTCCAACCATCTAATATACTAATATCTACTTATGGGGTAGCATAAAGAGTCATTTAGATGTGGTTGCATTCCTGCCCTTCACATATCATACACTATCTAGCCTCATTTATTCTATGTTACCTGCTGATGTAACATTCATAAAAGGTTGGTGTACTTTGAAATAGTCTACTGGCGATTTAAATATTTGTGTCAATAATTACCGTAATATACATGATTGTGAGATTCAATCTATTCATAGTGTTGGTTGGTAGTGATTTACTAACGTACAGCTTACAATGCTGTATTTTAATAATGGTGACATGTAATTATTATGGTTATGATGAGTACAATGGAGAGTCATTGAGTATTTTCTGCTCTGGTCAACTTCACTGCACTCATCGCCCCCCTTATCTAGTTTATTGTTTATTACGTAAAGGTGTAGTTGGACTGACACGATTTGTTTCTTAGTTGGTGGTGGCTTTTAGTAGTGGAATTCAGGACGCGTGTATTTTATCCTATTTGTACGTATCTAGCACAATACTTATCGTTTAATATGCCCAAAGTATTATGCGTTGGGCAACAGGTGCTTTGTATCAAATCACTAGTGAAACGTGCAACTACATGTCTGTTTGAACACAATTCGTAGAACAGGTCTGACTTGTTGTGTGTAAAGATTGCGCAGGCTAAAATAGCTGGAGCAGGACTCGAACCCGAGACGCATTGACGACTGAAAGTCGACGGTTTAAGTCGGTGAGCCAATTTTTCAAATGCGTACCACATAGCTGCCGATATTATGTCAGCAGGGACCGAGTAGTTTTCTTATCCAATATGTACATATAATCAAACAGACTTCAACAAATTTGAAAAGAAATAAAGCTAAGTTCCATGATGAAAGTGTTGTAGGAGAAAAAAGATTGCTTATGTGTACTAATTAGTACTTGTTCCCTTTTCCATTGTGTTTTAATTGACTAAGTTGAGTCTATTTTTCGGAATCGTAATGAATTAAGTTTATGGTAATGCATATGGTGTATTTTTCGAATTAGTGATTATAATAAATTAGTTCAGATTGTGAATTTGATTCGCTCAAGTGGTTAGCCAGAAATCGGATAGTTTGAACTGATTCCTTCGCCTCTGTGTGATCTGAGTAAGTCAACCCAATCACACACCACTGAGGTGAGCTTGGTGTCAAAACGAGTGAAACAGCTGTCTGGTGTTTAGATCACTTCGATTTCTGGCTGGCCAACAAGTGCAATTGGTTGATGTGAGAGTGTTAATTAACTACTCATTCATGCCTGTCAGCCAGTAGTATTCAGTTTTACGCGTATCTGAATGAATACTTTGTTATAACTCTTCACACACACACTCTTTCTATATGTCCTTTTCCTTGTTGCTTTATTTTTTTAAATTTCATATAAAGATGTCTTGGCGTAAAGTTGCTTTCGGTGATAATGACGATAGTCAAAGTTTATATGAATTGGCTAAATCATTCAATGAGAAGTTTACTGGTAGTAAATTATTATTTTCAAAAAAATCATCATCTGCAGTAGCAGTAGCAGCAGCCGGAGGAGCGTCTCGTAATGGACGTAATGATTCCTCTGTCCAGCCTAAAATCACTGCTTCGTCTTCATCATCATCAGCAGCAGCAACATCCTCCTCGTCCTCCTCCGCGGTATCTCATGAAACAAAAACACCAACACAACGATGACCACCACTACCACCGACAACACAGTTAATGAAAAGAAGATACAAAACAGGATCCATCAATTATGTTAATTTCAATGAATGACTCATAACCATTATTATTTAGGATTTATTATATATATGTATTTGTTTAATTTCATCTATCTTGATTTATTCGTTTTGTTTTCCACATTGGATCTACTCATGTCCTCATTATTATTATCATCATCATTATTATTTTGTTGCTGTTGTTTTTTGGATTGGTTCTCTTGGTTAAATTAAATTTTTTTGTTTTCCTAACTCGAATATCTGCATATATTTATATACTTGGGTTGTTTTTTTTTAAATTACTTATTTGCTTATGTCAATCATATAGTTATTTTTCACGCATACATATTATGTTTATTTATTTATTTATTGTCTTCTGAAATTCACTCACTAGCCACTCATTATACTATTGATCAGGTTTAATGCTTTAATGTATAATAATCACAATATAGTCGTGTGGGTGTGGGTTGTGTAATGAATGCACTTCGTCTGTATGCTTCCGGTCTGTCAAGTTTTTGTCACTTATAAAAGAGGGGGGAATTTCCACCAGTACTTCTTGTAATAGTCACACTGATTATGATCATGTATAATGCTCTGTCACATTTTTCTCTGAGTAATAAATGGTCTCAACAGACCTCCTCTTTCTTTCTCTCTCCCGCACACACACACACACAATAGGTGATTTAATGATGCAGCATACTGTGTGTGACAGACAGGAAAGCGGTTATGTGATATCTATGATTTGCATTTGTGCATGTATTTTATGTTTACATGCGTACCTACACACATACACATACATACATACATCCATCCTGTATGTGATGAAAAAGAAGTCATGATTATGATTATTATTTGTTGTTCTTGTTGTTGCTATGCCTGAGAAGATTAGACGAGAGAGGGGGGCAGTTTCTTCTTCCTCCTCTTCTTCTTTGTTTCCTCTGTGTGTTGACCTTAACACTATCTTGTCTATTTTCTTCTTTACTTCTTTTGGGGGGGTCTAAGCTTGTTTTCATGGTTTAGTCATCATTTTGATGTCTGATTTCTCATTCTATTTTTCCAAAAAATTATTTTAATTATTATTATTATTATTGTTATTTGTTTAATTAATGTCAATGAATATTGTACACTTATGCATAACTTGTAAATTGAAGAAAAGGAGGCGAAGAACAGGAAGGAGAATAATCGTAATGTATCTATGCATGAATGGCTTACATGTGAAATATATGCAAACTATCAAATTATATACACATACTACACCTTGCGTGTACCTACTTCTTTTTCAATTATTGTTATCTTTCAATCGCTCTCGCAGTCGTCTCCTCCTGCTCTTCTTCTCCTCGCTTTCACAGCACTCTCATATAGCAGTAGTCAGTCACTAAAATGATTGTGTCAGTTATGCACTCCAAATATGTATTTCACATGCAGATACACAGCCACACACACACATGCACACGTACACTTATGGATGTTCTTTTGTCGAAAGAAGAAAAACTGGTTTGTTTTGTTCATTTTTATTTCGAGTATTACAACTAATCATGTAATTTGTATGCCATGTTCAAATTCTTCGATACTATTATTAATATTTTTATGCTATTGTCATACTTTCCGGGTTTTTTATTTACATGAATACGATTAAACAATAATGAATGTTTGATAAATTCCCTAGTTAATTTTCTCTAATTTTTGGATAGACATTCTTGGGAATTTTAATTCTAATTATTTGATTTCATCACGAATCAACACCAGCTAGAGAGGTTATTGTAAAAATTAAGGAGGACTAGGTGGTGTGCATCGACTCTCTGCTCCCCGCCCCCAGCTAGGGATTGAACTGGGAATCTCCAGATTTTATATTAGGACTTCGGCAAGCCATGCACCTACGATCCTAATCAGAGATTAGACAGTGGGTCTTCTTCAGATTATGAGATCAAGCTAAGCTACTTGATTGAACTGGAGGAGCCCAGTGTGACCCGTGAATTCTAACTTTGTCAGTTTGGTTATATAGTTCTACCGTCAACCAATATGCCTTCGATATAAGCATTCAGTTGATCTTCACATGGTGGACCTCATTGGTCACAACTTATCTGGGCAACCATCAACGAACTGGAGATATCTAGATTATAGGGTTTTTTTAAGGCATTTGGAGATCTAGAGTTCGATCCCTACGGGGGTGGATATGCATTACTGTGAAGAGTTTCAAACCATAGGGAAACAACTGTCCAGTCCTCTCTAGTTCTCAATGATTTTCTAACTAATGTGGGTTCGTGACGAAATTTCTCAGTCATACCGTAGTATTGGAAATGTATATCTCTTCAACCGAGCGAGTGAGAGTTACTGTAATTACGAATATATATACAATTACAATGGTCATCCAGAAAAGTGTCACAGGCTAGTTATATGCCTCAACATTGAACCGATTTGTGACCGGTGATCAGCGTGCTAGAATCTGATTAGTTAACTATCGAAGTGGTTATATAGTCTGATCGATTCGTTATCTGGTTAATATATAGCGAATCAGTATTTGTATATTTCATACAGGCAGAATGTCGCCTTAGTCTATATTGACACATAACACCTGCTGTAATAAGAAGGCCGATGGTCAATAAAGTGCTCGCCTTGATTTGTATCAATTTGAAATTGTGAAAGTGGGGGGGGGGCGGTTCTATTGTTGCCGATTACTTCGTCTTCTTGTGCAAAGTGATGTTTCACTTCTTTTTCAGAGGGCATTGAATCTGTTCACTGTTGTTTTCTTCTTGTCTTATTGATTGTGGATAGCTGAAAAGTATCTAGGGGCAAAGTTAACTTTGGGGTGATGGCGGCATCTGAGTTGTAATGATGAGTTGAGTTTATATATCACTGCTAACTTTCACATCATGTTTAACACTGACCACGTTGCGCCTTGACATAGCTTTCATTCCAAGCTTTGCGCCCTGGTTGATGATCACGAACATCTGTACCAGACTCAAATTTTTTTCCCATTGATGATTCAGGATGCTCGGGTTTTTTTGATAATTTTGAGTTATGAAATGTTCTTAGGATATGAGCTGACGACTGTTTATTTAGTCTTGATTCATTTGGAGTTGTTGGACATATCATCGGAAATTTGTCAGACATAACAGTTATATATATTACTTACATGTATAATGCATCGTCTCTTTAAGAGTAGTTTGCTTGTCCTAGTGGAACATAGGGCTTCAACTGCACATCTCCACTTGCTTCTGTCTTCTGCTGTACTTTTCACCTGCATCCATGTTAGTCCATACTGTTTCAACTCCTCCTCTTCACACCATCTCCTCCATGTCACCCCTCCACTGACGTCCCACTCGCCGTGTGCTTCCCTTTCGGCCTGGTTCCACTGGAGCAATGGCCTGACGCGCGCGCGATGTCACCCAGTGGCGGCCTCCTCAGCGAGTGTCCAATCTATCTCCACTTTCTCCCGCATATTTGTTGGTAGGCGATTGGTTCTTCTTTTGTTTGTTTGTTTGTTCCTAGCCATAGTTTCTTGTTGGTGATTCTTTCCGGCCCCCCGGCCATCTGATCTTCAGTATAGAGCCAGCGAAGACAGTTGTTGGTTGATGAAGGTCTGCATCAAGCTGTTGGAAATATTCTTTGTGACCCGCCCGCCAAGTTTCTGATCCGCATAGAAAAACGGACTGACTTGACGTTGTTTGTATGAAAAATCCTACCGGATTCTGTTGTTGATGTTGGCTGAGTGACGAAGATTTCCAGATTGGTTGTTTTAGGTTGATGAATGTGTTTCTCGCCTTCCAGATTCTCGCTCGATTTGACATCGTCGTCCGTTTCGAGTGCCTGTAGTTGAGACAATGCTCCCTAGACCAGTGAGTGAATGAAGTAACCTCTTTCAAATCCATCCCGTTGATGGTGATTGGCACTGGATGTTGCTGTTGTTGTTTTTGGTGGTGGTTGGTTATTTCATAACCTCCGTCTTGTCTGTGTTCACCTGGAGTCCTGTCTTCGCTGGCTGCTTCTTCGACCAGTTTGTCGGTCGGTTTTCGCTTGTAAGTCTTCGATTTTGTGTGATATCAAGCATAAATCATGCACACGTGAAATCCAGGTCTTCTAGGTTCTTGACGTTGGTCGGTTCAGGATATCCCTGTCCGCCACAATTAGGAATATCATTGGTGATAATAAGTACTCCTGTGTTTACTCCAAACGCCTCGCTGAGTTTTCCGTTGTGTATGACTTGACATGGGCCGTTATCGTACAGCTGTTGAATAAATTTGCATCATAGAAACAAATTTCGATGGGATGCGTTTCACGCTAGCCAGAGCTTATTTCCTATGGATAAAGATTTAGGATTGTTTAGAATTATCCTGTTGTAGAAGAGTTTACATTTTTATGGCTAGTTGTTGAGTTCTTGAGGAATAAGAATAAGAGTAAATTGCGTCACACAAGTACCATGATTAACTTAGAAAAACCGGCGTGGGCGTGTAAAAGAACTTCAAAGCTTTCTTGATATGAAGGTTTCTATTTAATATATGTGTAAAACTTGGGCACTGTGGTAGTAAGTTTATTAGATGTATCGCACATTGAAACAGTATTATTTACTGGATACAATTTCTATTTAACATTGTGAAGTTTCAACCCCGTGACGGATAACCGCCAGGTCAGAAGATTCACTAACCAGTAATTTAATCGAAAATCAATGACCCATGTTTATCGATTCCTATATATACTATGATTAGCTGTTCTCGCACTAAGTGTGATCGGCATTACCATATGTCACAACTCTCTAGCCTTTCAGAATATTGATCGCGTAGCTAGTTGGTCTATATTTGTCCATCTTATACAAATTTGATTGAATAGGCAGCTAATACCTGAGTTTGATGAATATTTTTTAAATCAATAATCGGAAAGTGGGATTGTTTTTTGAATTGTCTGGATTTTTAGCTTTTACTTAGATGCATTATTATGCCATATAATTTTATTTTCTACGGTTGGTTTGTAAAGATCAGTTTT